ATTTTTGTTTTGTCCTTTCCAGTCTAAGATAATTCTTCTTTTTAGAAGAAACAGAAATAAAATAAGAACTGAGTAGTTTGACCTCTCTATCATCCATTATCATTTTTTCATCCCCCCGAATGATAGTCTTCTCCCATATTCGATCCTCCTCTTTCCCCCAAAGTAGCTTTTTTAAAAGTTCTTTTTGTTAAGTTATTTTGAGCTTTTGGTCTCTTGAAACTATTACTGTAAGACTGTGTTATTCATTTGTATTCATCCTCTACTACTTATCCTTGCTTCTAACTTCCATACATATATTTTAAAAATCTAGGTTGGTTAGTGAGCCCCCTATGCGTCCACATCATTCTCCTTAGACAGCTCCTGTAAGAAGGTAACTTCTAGTGGAATGAACCTCTTTGGGAGAAGGGATTGTTTTCCCTTTTGTCTTTGTATCCCTAGCATCTAGCACAGTGCCTGGAATATGGTATGTGACACAAGTGTAGACTCTCCACACATTTAGTGGTTATCCCATGTGATAATTGGGATAGTAGAGTAATATAAATAACCTACATGGGGACATGTGCCATCCATCCACCTTAAATCTCCTGGAAGGCAGAATGTCATATTATTAACAATGAAACCAAATAGAAATGGATCTCTGAGGGTCACATATTGACTTAGAAAAACACAATTAGCATTATTTATGTTGTATTGTATTTTTATTTATTTTGTTAAACATTTCCCACTCATATTTTAGCCCTCTTTGGTAGCATTTGAAGTTTTGCTAGTTCCTGCAGCCTGGAAGTTTGACACCTCTGAGAGATATATAATTTGCCCACCAGGGGGAACTATAATCAATATCAGCCCAGTAGTCTCATCAAGGTCTCTCTGACACATGAACCAGACATCTCTACTGATGGCCAACATTGACCAGGTTAGGTGGTATAAGGCTCCAAAATTACCAAAAAATAGTAAAATTTCTGATTGCTACATTCCCATAACCTTCTCAGTCAGGCAGTAGGAGCAGGAGGCATCAGGAAAGGCTTCATGAGAAAGATGTTGTTTGATCTGAATCTTGAAGGAAAATAGGGATTCTAAGAGATAAAGAAGGAGTATAAAGGCATGGGATCAGGAGATAGAGAGCCATATATAAAGAAGGGTAAGAAATCTAGTTTGGCCAGACCATGGCATGAATGTACATGTAATAAGTGGAGAATAGTAGTTTGGGGCCTTAAATGCCAAATGGAGTGGTTTGTATTTAATTTTGGATAGAGAGGTATTGAAGTTTATTGAGTAGGGGAGTGACTTGGCTAGAGGTTCAGTTTAGGACAATTATTTTGGCAGCTTTATGGAAGTAATGTTGGAAAGGGGAAAGACTTGAGGAAGGGATACCAATTAGGAGGCTTTTGCTGAGGTGAAGGAGTTATATTTCTGTGACTACTCTCAGAATCAAAGGAATGCTGTAAAAAGAGGGCTGTCTGCCCTCAAAAATTAGGGAATTTCAGAAGAGGGGTGGTTTTGGAGGGGAAAGATAATTAACTCAGTTTTGGAAATGTTGAATTTGAGATATCTATGGTACATCTAGTAGGAGGTGTCCAGCTGTTTCTGATGTGGAATTGGGGCAGAGAGAGAGAGAGAGAGGGAGAGAGAGAGAGAGAGAGTGAGTGGGGATAGAAATATTGATCTGGGAGTTATCAGCATAGAGATGATAATCAAACCCATTTGAGTGGGTGGGGTCACCAAGACAGAGAGTTTAGAGAAAAAAGAGAAGACGGCCTAGGGCAGAGACTTGGAGTACATCCATGGAGAGTTGCCAATCCAGCAAAGGAAACTGAGGTGTGAGCAGACAGATAAGAGGAGAACCCAGAGAAATCAGTCTGACAAAACCTTAGAGAAGAGAAAGTAGCCTTGCAGGGAGGTGGAGATTAACAGGATCAAATGTGATAGAGAGGGCCAGAAGGATAAAATGAGCCCCTAACTCCTAGCTGTCTCCTATGCATGAAATGTTCCCCCTTCTCTTCAGGACTTGGTTTTGCTCTCTTCCTTTAAGTCCTAGCTAAAACCCCATCTCCTACAGGAAACCTTTTCTAATCCTTCTTAATTCTGGAGCTTTCTCTCTGTTGATCACAATAAACAACAATCGTTTCCTTTTTAGCTTGTGCTTAGCTTATTTGTACACGTTTGTTTACATGTTGTCTCCCCCATTAAATTGTGAGCTCCTGGAGAGCAGGGACTGTCTTTTGTCTTTTTTTTTTTTATCCTCAGTGCTTAGCACAGTGCCAGGCTTATAGTAAGTGCTTTAAAAATGCTTATTGATTGACCAGATGACAGGTCAGCCCAAATCCATAACCCAGGTACTGGATGGTATTGGGCAGCAAAGTCCAAGCAAGACTCACAGAACCTAAAAACATAAGAGCTGATGGTACTTCAAACATCCTCTGTTCAACCCTTTCTGAGACATAAGGAAGGCAGTCTTCAGGAAGAACCAGGAGGTACAGGATCGTTTCCATTCCCTGAAATTGACCCAGAATTAGCAAGCACTGGAAATCAGCACTAATCTTGATATCAACATCCCTATTATCAATAATAAGAATAATCATTTATTAGGAAGATGTAAAAAATCAGATCTGTGATTTCACTGGTGTAAGGGACTTTTGGTGAAGGACTTCCTCGACAAATGCATTTGATACTTTCTCTATAACTTACAGTCGTAGAGCGTTGTCTAGAGAGCTACTCAGTTAAATGACTTGCCCAGAGTCAATACCCATCTGAGGTTGGCCTTGAACCCAGGCCTGATCGGGAGGCCTGTATGATACGATGGCAACTCTGCCAGGCTGCCTTTCATAAGGAAGTTATTAAGCTTAAATTTGAAATCTGAGTGGCAAACTAAACAGAATCTGTTCCTGGCTTTATAAGGCATCATTCTGTGAATATGCACACATCCATAATATGTATGAGGTGTGCCCAGTGAGGAATGTGTTGATCTTTGGATAACTAAGATCATAGGACCTAGAGGGAAGCTTAGAAATCAACTCCTTCTTATCACAGAGGGGCCTACTTGAGCCCTGAGAGATGAAGAAATTTCCCAGGGGCACATAGTTAATAAGAGGAAGAGCTGAGATTCTAACCCAGGTGACCAGAATAAGATAAAATTTTAACATACTTGGTCTTCCAGTCTTTAAAAACAAAACAGTTTTATTAATGCATTTTGCTTTTATGTCAGTCATTTCTGGATGTGGCCTCCCACCCCCTGTTCCATGTTGAATTCACTCTTGTAAGAGTAAAACAATAAGGGAAACCCCCCCAAACTCAACACAAACTCAATGGTTACATTTGACAGTGTATGCCACCAGCTGCCCTTGTAGTTTCCTCCTAGAGGTTTCATTATATTTTTAAGGGGAATGAGATTAGTAACTCAGACTTTGGCTTTCATTCTCCCATTTTTGTGGTCATCATGGATGTAGTTTGTGTGGCTCTGCTAATTTCCATCTACCTCAGTTCATACAAGTCTCCCGATGTTACCACCCTGTCTCTCAATTTTTTGGCTTTTTAAATTATGGCTTTTTCTGCAAGTGATTTTCAGTTCTCAATTATCTGGTTTAATAGAATTAAGGGAAGAATCTGATAATCAGTATTCACAGATAATCCAAAAACATCATTTTAGTCAGTTGCTCTAACTCCCTCCCTCTTCCCCCTCCTCCCCCTCCTCAAAGAATCTCAGAATAGGCAAGATAGGCTGGGTTCAATTGTCCCTCCATTCGGTGTGCTGAGGGAGGAGCACTGATGAGGTCAAGGGTCAGAGAGCAGGAAGGAGGCATAGGGGAGGCAAAGGTCATGGGAAACTAGACCCTTTCCCCAAATCAATCAACTTTCATTTAAGATGGGAATGAATCCCACTATTGGTCCATTTCTTTGTGACTCCCTAAGCATCCAGAATAGAGCTTTGCGCACAGTAGGTATTTTATAAATAGTTGATGATTATGTTGAGCTTGGAAGCCTGGCAGCTGTTCACAGTTCCTATTATCAGTATCCTAGGGGGCAACTGAAGGGAAGCGATCAGCAGGGAGGCTTCTGCCTTCCTGGCCATAGGAATATGGTGTTAGCATTAGGGAGCCAGGATCACCTCTCATACCAGCACATTCCACTTCTGGGTGACATTGTTCCATGCTCCATTCTGAATTCCTCATACTCTGAGTATTCCTGGGAGCTTCTAGGAGTCTGGAGGTCTGGATTTAAGTATTTCTCTCTCTCTTCATTTTGATCTTGGAAAATCAATCAACAAACATTTATTAAGAGCTTACTATGTATGAAGCACTAGGCTAAGTGCTGGTCAAGTCACTTCACATCCTGGCCTTCAGTTCCCTCATTTTTCCATTTAAAAGGGTTAGGATTAGGATCATAGGCTTTTCCAGGAGGTATGGATCTCTGAGGGGATTCTTTTTCAGATACAAGTTGGACTAGATGATCTCTGAGCACTCTCCCAACTCTAAGATTCTGTGATGCTCTCATCCATTCCAATCCCCTCATTTTACAGATGAGGAAACTGAGGCCCAGAGAGGACAGTGAACTAGACAAATGCTATTTAGGGTCTATTCTAGCTCTAACAATGTTAAGTATGCATGAATGGAACTTTCCATCTACATTCCCTCCCCCGCATTCCCTCTCATGGCATCCCCTCAGCCTTCTGGCCCTCCTCCCTCTCTTACTGGGCCCTCTGCATCCCTATTCTTTTGGGGTCGACAGATTCCTTGTACCTGTCAGAAAGGGAAGAAGGCAGCTGCTTCAGACGTCAGGCGAAAGAAACTACAACTCCCAGTCCTCTGCGCAGCCTCCAGCCTGTGCACTCTCTCTGTGGGCTGGGGCTGAGAGAACCTCCTCTTTTAGGAGGAGCATTGTGGAGGGGGCGTTGTTAGGATGTGGTTGGAGAGTTAAGTCAAGCCAATGAGACCAGCTGCTAATAAGTGGGTTTGGCTTACAATATTACAGTGGAAGGAGGAGAAGGAGAGGAAAGCTATTGAGCCTCAGCCGAGTGGAGCTGACCCTTGCCTGAGACTCTTCTAAAGACCACCTCCAGAAACAGAGTTCTTTCCCCCCCACCCCAGCTCCTCTTCCTCCCCTTCCCACTACAATGCATTCTTGACTGGCAGCATCCGGACTCTAGGCAGCCCCAGAGAACCGAACCAAGCCAAAGAAAAGAAGATCAGAGCCAAGACACTCTCTGGCTTGGGATCTCAGATGCCGGTCTTTCTTTGAGGAAATCTCCTGAGAGAGAGAGCAGAATTGGGGTGGGGGGGTTTGTGGAAGGGAATCCAACCAGTCCCCAAGATGGACACTTCTGGGCACTTCCATGACTCTGGGGTGGGAGACTTGGATGAAGATATGAAGTGTCCCTGTCCATCTTCGGGGGACGAGCAGCAGCAGCAGTCACAGCAGCCACCACCACCACCGGCCCCGGCACAGTTGGCCCCCCAGCAGCAGCAACCGCAGCAGCAACAGCAGCCCCCAGCACTGGCACCCCAGTCTTCAAGGCCCCTCACCCAGCTCAACCAACTCCAGAGCCAACCTCTCCATCACAGCCTGCTGCACTCTTCTCCCACCGCTTTCAGGGCCCCACCTTCCTCCAACTCTACCACCATCCTCCACCCTTCCTCTAGGCAAGGCAGCCAGCTCAATCTGAATGACCACTTGGTTGGCCATTCTCCAAGTTCAACAGCTACAAGTGGGGCCGGAGGAGGCTGCAAGCATAGACAGGCGAGCCCACTGGTCCACAGGAGAGATAGCAACCCTTTCACGGAGATAGCCATGAGCTCGTGCAAGTACAGTGGTGGGGTGATGAAACCCTTGAGCAGGCTAAGTGCCTCCAGGAGGAACCTCATAGAGTCCGAGCCTGAAAGCCAACCCCTCCAGATCTTTAGCTCCAGCAATCCACCCGAGATTGTCATCTCTTCCCGGGAGGATCACCATTCCAATCAGACCCTGCTCCATCATCCAAATGCCACCCACAACCACCAGCACTCTGGCACCAGCAGCATCAGCACCTTCCCCAAGGCCAATAAACGGAAAAACCAAAATATCGGCTATAAACTGGGACACAGGAGAGCCTTGTTTGAAAAGAGGAAACGGCTGAGTGACTATGCTTTGATTTTTGGGATGTTTGGCATTGTTGTTATGGTGATAGAGACCGAGCTCTCTTGGGGGTTATACTCAAAGGTAGGGGCTTCGGTTTCTCTTTATCCCTTTAACAAAAGGAGACAGGAATGTAGGTAGCAAGGAGAGAGACAGAGACAGGGGTGAGGAGAGGCATTTTTTTAGTTGTATGTCTGAACACTCTGTTAACTTCCCATGGCTTTCCTTCTAAATCAAGGGAGAATTCATTTTCCTTAGGAGACCTCCCCGCCCCCAAACACTTTCTCTGTTTTTCAGATGCAGTATCAGGTAGGATTAAAGAATCCCTTCGGAGAAATCATTTTTTTTTTTTTCCTCCTGGCTCATTTGTACTAAAGCATAAACCTGCCGCTTAACACACCAATTAATTACATACACTCTGCCTTGCTGTGATGTGTTTGCCTGTCCCTGCTATTCCCATCCCACCCCACCAACCTCCACTCCATCGCTTTCTCTCCATTTTCCCAAGGTAAAAAAATATAGAAATGTTTGTGTAAGGTCAGTTTACTAAAATCTCTCTAGCCCCGTTGTATCCCTCACCCTTTCCTTCCCCTGCCTCCCAAGTTTCTAATCTTGTCCTCCCTCTTCTGAGACTTGTGGCAAATAGTAAAGTATGGTGGCTGTAGCTTCCCTGGTGTATTGGGGCAAACACACAGGGGAATGAAACAGTGTCTCCCTCACTCATGGAAAGGGGGCTCAGAATTAGTCAGTTTAGTGCCTTGTAAACATTCCCCCAACAAAAATGGCTACAGGTGTTAGTTAGAAGAAAAGCAGCCCGGCCTCACTTTGCATCACACACATTGTCTTTGCCTTTTCTGTCTCCGAGGCTCCTGACATCTCTTAAGCATGCAGACAGCAAAGGCAAGCCAGTGGTAGTGGGAGCCTGGCCCATCATCCCCCACTCCCCAATTCTGCCCATCTTCGCCCCTCAACCCGTTTCCGTTCTCCCAGGGAGGAAAAAAAAAGAGATGTTTGCCCGCAGGAACAAGGAAACAAGGATGACTTCGGCAAAGGACCAGCCTCTTGAGTATCATTTGCCTGGTTGGTTCGGTCATTCCCCTATAGCACAGATCCAAGCAGGTAGGAGGGGGGTTCTCTCTTGGCGAGGGGACTCCGGGAGGTGGGAGTTTCCTCCTCCGAACCGCATGGGGAGGGAGGAAGGTGGGCTTCTGTCTGATCTCTTGTATGGCTCCCCAGTTACCCTGCTTCGCTCTGGAAGGAAGGATCCGATTGGATTTTTGAAGAGTGTGTGTGTGTGTGTGTGTGTGTGTGTGTGTGTGTGTGTGTGTGTGTGTGTTCGTTCTGTGGCTTGGATTTCTGGGTTTATTTTTTTAAATTTAATTGGGGGGGTGTATGCAGGCGGGGGGGGGCGGCGGGGTTTGCCGGGAGAGAGGTTGGTGGTGCTGGGGAGCTGATGGGAGGGGTTCCTCGATGCTGTTCAGCTGTTGAAAGATTTTAAATAGAGCTCCTTTTAGGCAGGACACAGCTGCTGTGAGGCTGTCACATTCCTTGTTGAAATCTAGCCACCCAAACCCAGGAGGTGCTGCTCGGATTTCCCCCAATCCCCGTCTTTTTCCCACCGTATGGGGCCAAGTGCCCTAGCCCCAGCCTATCCCGAGGGCAGGGCAGACCTGTCTGACGGTCGGAGTCATCAGAACGGGGAGATCTTGCGGCTGGGAAGGGGGTGGGGGCAAGTTGTCGGGAGCTCACGTCCTCCCCAGGGCAGTTTCCCAACGACTGTCTTAGCCCCAGTCACTCAGGAGCCCTCCCCATTCCAAGAACCACGAGTGGTGCCCGGATTTCCCCTGTAAATCACAGCTCACGCAGCCCACTCATCTCCTGTCCCCTTCCTCACCCTCCTCCCCGTTCCCTCTTCCCCGCGTTATGGAGGCTGCTCCCAGTCCCCTGGTCCAAGCTGTTGCCGAATACGTTCTCTGGAAGGGCTGATTAGAGCTCTGCTTTACAGATCACACTGGACCCCACCCCTTAGCTCTAGTTAGTGCCGAGCACTAACGTTTGGGAAGAGCTCCTGGTACAGCCCAGGCAAGGGTCCAGTCCAGGGAATCCGGGAGTTCCATATTGGAGAAATCAGGGCAATCCCCACGAATTTGGGGGATGCCAGATCAAAAGGGAAATGCCATCCCTGGCCACACCTGTCAGGCAGCCAGGCTCCGAGGCTCGGGAAACATCCTAGGTTCTTGTTTTAGAGTCAAATGTACATAGAGCTTCGGTCTCATTCTTACCATGGCAAACTGCCGTTTTCACTTTTCTGTGGAATAGATGCTGCTGATGCTGGAGTAGTATGAATGGGGAGGGGTGAAAGGAGGGGGAGCAGTCCAAGCAATTGTAGGTCTCTGTGTTGCTAGGTGAGGATCTCAGGGGATGTGGGCATTTGAGGTGGCTTGTACTTTCTAACATAAGGGGATTCATGTGTTCAGAAGCTCAGAGACTCGTATCAAACAGAGCCCTGACATTCCTTGTTTTCCTCTGGCTTTCTAATTCTGGTGTGGAAGCAAGGTGACTTCTTTTCCATCTTGGTGCTGGTGTATGGTGATCTCTATTTGAACTTCTTTTCTATTCAGCTGTGAGAGGCAGTGATTAGAAACTCCTTTAAAAAATTAAACCCTACACTGTGGCTCTGCTTTTAGTTGGGGGCCTTAACAGGTTCTAGAAAACTGGCTGATGGCATCAAGAGGGTATATTCCTAGGAGGAGAAGCCTGGTGGCATAGACTGAATGTCAATCTTTATATATAAATAATTGGAAGAAAGAGGAAGATGGCCAACTGTTTTTCCATCTCCACTCAGGAGAATGGAGGAAGCAGCAGGGTTAGATCATAGGCAGAAGGGTTTGGGTTGGATTGAAGGAAGAACTTCCTGGCAGTGAGAGAGTGGATATACATAGATGGGTAATTGAAGGGGGATGGGGGTCCTGAAGGGAAACTCCTTTACTAATGAGCTTTTAAGATATTCTGCCTTGAGTGGTTTAGGTATAGCCCTGCCTGGAAATGGAAATTAACTAGAGACCTTCTGGTGAAATGATAGCTCAGTGTCCTAGGTGGTAGAGGAGGAAGGTATTTAAGGAGTGAAATATTCCCTGAAGGATGTGCTCAAGTGGTCACATAATTAATGACTCCTGGCAAGTTTTTTTTGAAATCTTTGCAACTGGTTACTTTTTCTCCCAATGTGGAAGTGAGACAGATCATGTATCTGCTGCTCTCCTGCCTTCCTGACTAAGCCAAGTGGAGCTAAGAGATAATTGGATGGGAATGAGTCCCCAAAATGAGACTTAGCCTTTTGATGTTGCATGTCTTAAAAATATTAAAATGAACACGAAATAGATATTAGTATAAGTGGGGTCTAAAATAAGTGCAGAAGAGAATAAACATTTATATAGCATCTACTATGGACCAGGCACTGTGGTAATCCCTTTTTTTAGAACTATTATCAGCTGGGGGGTACAGTGAATAAAGTGCCTGGCCTGGAGTCAGAAAGACCTGAGTTCAAATGCTGTCTCAGACACTAGTTGTGTGACTCTGAGTAAGTCACCTACCCTCAGTTTGCCTCAGTTTCCTCATCTGTAAAATAGTGACAATAATAGCACCTACCTTCTAGGGTTGTTGTGAGGTTCAAATGAGATAATACCTGTAAAGTGCCTGACACCTAGTAAGTGCTATATAAATGTTAGCTATTATTATTATTAATTATTATTTGATTCTTATAATAACCCTGTGAGGTAGGTACTGTTATCACCCCCATTTTACCATTGAGGAAACTGAGGCCGTAAGAGGTTGAGTGATTTGCCCAGGGTCACACAACTAGTAAGTGTCTGGGGCTGGATTTGAACTTGGGTCTTCCTGACTTTCAGGTTAAGTGCTCTATCATTTCATCATATATCAGTTCCCATTTCCCAGTCTGCCCCACATAGGGAAAATCACAGTGAAGGTCCGGGTTGGGTATTGCCAGGGGTGAGCTACTGATAAGGAAATGTGGAGGTGTCGTAGTATAGACAGCTGGAAGAAGGTATAGACAGAGATAGGCATTCTTTCTACAAGGAAATCTTGGGGGCAGTACCACCAGAAAGGAAGGGTCTCTGTGTGTGTGTGTGTGTGTGTGTGTGTTTGTGGTGGTGGCTACAGTGACTTCTGTTCTGGAGATGTGAATGGAAACATCCCTGCACTAATAGGAGTGTTGGAGCCTTTAAAAAGACTTTAGGGAATATTTATGTGTGTAAGGCATCGTGGTATGGTAGAGTTATGGACTTGGATCAGAGCTTATGAATTTTTGAGTTGGTAAGGGATCCCAGAGGCCATCTAGTCTAACCCCTGCATTTTACAGATGAAGAGACTGAGGCCCAGAGTAATTGTGATTTGCCCAAAGTCATATAGCTAAGATATTTGTTCTCTGATGCCAGATACACTTTGTATGACACTGTTATTTCTCAAATTGGTGTTGTGAGAGTCAGGAAACACTGGATTCAAATCCAGCTTCCTATATATAATAACTAGCTTTTTGCCGATGATCAAGCCATTTTCTAAGACTCAGTTTCCTCATCTGTCAAATGAGGATAATAGCACTTCACCTGGTTGTGATGGAGCTAAGGTGAATATAAAGGTAAAGGGCTTTGCAAGTTTTAAAGTATCGTCCATGTGTCTACTGTTATTATCTGTGTTTTAATAGAAGCCCAAAGCCATCTTTGAGAACAACCACATTCACATTTGGAGAGTTTGTTTTTTTTTTTAAGCAATTACTGGTAGAAGTGCCTCTAGGAGTGTCTGTTCGAAAAATCCTGGTTAAAATGGTGCTTCATATAGATAGCACCAGTCAAAGTTAGCAAGATACTTACTGCACTGGGGATTCCTCAAAAGCATTTTGAAAATTCTTGGGAGCATGAATTCCCATTCTGGGTCCCTTTGGAAGCTTCCTTAGATATCAGGCCTACTCCACACAGTAATCGCAGAACCCTGATGGAGGCAAAGCTCTTATTTCTTCTCCTCTCCTCCCTGGATTGAGGAAAGAGGTTGTTTTTCTCTGGGCTCTAGTTAGG